TTGACAGAAATCGAGCTGCTAGCGCAGTTCTGAGGGGGTGTAACTCAAGTGGTAGAGTGCTCGCTTCGCATGCGAGAAGTACTGGGATCGATGCCCAGCTCCTCCAATTCTATCTTTTTGCTTCCGGAATTTTTTTTACTGCCGGGAATATTGAAGGCGGCCAGCGTTCCTTTTCCTTCTCTGCTCTTCGTTCTGCCTTTTTTCTTCTGGAATGGACGCATTTGTTGCCAGTTGCGGGCTGCGTGTAGAAGACGACGTGTCCAAACGTCGGCGAGCTGTGGCTAGGCGCGCGTTCCGGCGCGGATCGGTGGTTATCTCGATACCGCCGCTGTTTGGCTTTCCAGAGCGGCCGGGTGAGGACAGCAGCACTGAGGCGAAGGCTGAGACGCGCGCTGTAGAGCCCGCGTCGCGGTGTGCGCATTGCTTTGGGCCATTGCCGCCCCGGCGCCCGCGCTGCAGCCAGTGTCATCAGGTCCTGTACTGCTCGACCGAGTGCCTGGGGCGGCATTGGGCTTTGCGGCACCATTTTGAGTGCCGCTATACCACGAGCACGGCTGATCGGGCGGCGGAGAAGGTGAAACCGCAGTTCCGGCCGTATCTGCGTATGGCTGTGGGCGTTGCGGCGGCGCTGGACAACGTACGGAAGGGCGATCCGTCGTGGATGCATGTGCAGCGGGCGGCTTGGAGTGAGCTCCTGAGCCACCAGGAGCAGTACCCACCGCATGTTCTCCGTCAGTACGCCGAGATCGCGACGGCTATCGGCTCCGCAGATCCTGGGGGAACGGTCACGTTGCTGTGTCGTGCTGGGTGCAATAACTTTGCTGCCTACGAGAGTGGTGCTCCGCGGATGTGTGGGTACCTGTGTAGCCCGTTGGTGTCGCTGCTGCTGAACCACAGCTGCCTGCCCAATGCCACGTTTGTATACGAGGATGGCCGCCAGGTGGTGCGTGCCCTGGAGGATATCCCTGAAGGCCAGGAAATCACCTTGGCGTACTCTGACGCCCTGCGTCCACGCGCTGACCGACGTACTCAGCTCGAGTCGGTGTACTTTTTTGACTGCAAATGTGCAAAGTGCTCTGACGCGTCAGTTCGTGGGCGCATCGATCTTCTGGTTGACCGGGAGGTGGACTCTGCGCTGGTGCCTCGGTTCTTGCCGACAGACTATGCCCGTCTCCCAGAGGTTGTGCCCTGGGCATTGTATGTTGTGGGCTTGCTGCTGAGCAGAGTCCAGGGATCTGTTGCTTTGGACGCTTTTGAGTCCGGTCTGCTGGGCGCAATAGACGGCTCGGAGCCGCAGGACGTGTCGTTTGCAGCGTACAGGCACTGGCTCGAGTGCCAGGACGAGTGCTTGGAGAGGATAGCGACTGGACAGACTGAGCTCTATCCTTGGGGCTATGTGTCTTCGCTGTGTGTTCTAGCGTTCTACACGCTGGCGTATCCGCCGTTCTACTCTCTGGTTGGGTTCCAATGCTTGGAAGTGGCGAAGCTTGCGTGGAACACCTTGGCTTCTGCCGACCAGGCGGCGGGACTTGCGGTGTTGGATGTGGGCCATATAAGGGGCCTTGTCCAAGCTGCACTGAGCATCCTCGAGGTATCGGCAGACCCAGGCAGGGCCCGTCCAACGGAAAATGCCGCGTCTGCACGGGAGCAGGCAGCGCTGCTGCTAGACCAGCTGGACCAGCTGGACCAGAGGTAAGGAGGAAAAGAAAACAAGCGCACGAGTGCTGATTGGCCCATTTCCAGCCAACAACAACAGCAGCAGCAAAAAGCCGTGCACCTTGCTCTTTTGTGTTGTCTGCTTCTTTTCCCATTCACACATTCCTGTATCTTTTTTCTTCTTCTGTAAACACTCTGATTCGGCGAAAATGATGCAAGGAAGCGGGTTCTACCCAATGCTAAAGTCGCAGGATATCCTGGACGTGATGCGGCAGATGGAGATACCGATAATGGAGGAGGACCTGGAGAAGCCGACACCGCAGCGGGTGCAAATCTGGTACGAGGCGTTTCTGTACATCCTGAAGGGCATATCGCTGGAGCAGATAGGCAGCGACGTGGAGCTGTTGGACCTGACAGACTATCCAGAGTCGCACAGCGACGATATCTTCCTAATGTCGTTCTACCAGAACATGGGGACGTTGCTGCAGCAGGTGGGGGTGGATGACTTTTCGCTGCGTGATATGCTGAAGCCGGAGCCAGCGCGGGTGCGGCGGATTCTCAGCGGCGTGTGCAACTTTGCCATGTTCCGAGATGACCGGATGCATATCCTGGAAAAGTACACGGTGCAGGCGGATGAGCAGGCGGAGAGGCTGGACCAGATGCAGCAGGAGCTGGAGCAGGTGCAGGGCCGCATTGAGGCGATCCGGAGCCAGCGCGAGACGGAGCAGCCGCAGGTCAAGAAGCTCCAGGACGGCAACCGGGTGCTGCGGGAGGAGCTGAAGGAGCTGCGTACCAACCAGGCATCGCTGTACTCGGCCGCCAGCACCATGAAGGAGGAAAAGGAGGGGCTGCAGGACGCGGTGGGTTCGGTGAAGTATGCCATTGCTGGGCTGCAGGACGAGCTGGCGAAGCTGAAGGCGCGGGTGGTGCATAGCCCCGAGAAGATCCAGCAGGCCATTTCGGAACTGACCGAGGGCATTGCTGAGACGCGGCAGCAGGCGACGGCCAGCGAGGACAAGGCGCGGCAGCTGGCGCTAAAGATCGAAATGCTGGAGGGCATCTCGGCCGACATCCGCGCCTGCATAGGGCAGATGGCTGACGCGGAAGCGACTGTGCGGCAGCATGAGGACGAGCAGCGGCACTTGGCCAAGGAGCAGGAGAACCATTCGGGCGAGTTGTCTAATCTCCGCAACCTGGCCGTGCGCGAAGAGCAGCTGACGTTCCAAAAGACGTCGGGCGAGGAGAAGATTGAGCGCTTGGAGAAGAGCCGGCAGACAAAGCTGGACCAGACAGCTGCGCGTCTGAAGCAGCTGCAGAGGGGGCGTGCCGAGATAGCCTCGCGGCTCGAGGACACCAACAGGCGGATGATGGAGCAGCGCGCGCGGTTCGACGAGCTCCAGACCAGCGTCAAGCGCGAGCGCAGTGGGATGGAGGCCGAGGTGGGCGATATCCAGGTCAGCTACGATAGGCTACGCCAGCAGACCCTCGAATATCAGGACTCGGTCATTCAGTCTCTCGAGGACCTTATCAGCAGCTTTTACGCGTGATATTAATTATGAGCCAGAGCATTGAACGACATTAAGGGTAAGACATATTAGCAAGAGGCTTTTCTCTAGTTTTTTTTTTTTAGACCTTGGTCTCGACCGCCGCCGCTCCCGGGGCCGGCTCGTCTACCACGTCGTTGGCGCGCACTCGGGGGCTGGCCACCACACTGGAGGCGCTGCTGATGCTACGCGACCTGGTCCGCTCAATGGGTGTCGACCTCCACATGTGCGCGAGCACATCCAGGGCCAGAATGGCAAAGATCGGGATGGCGAATCCCAGCAGGGCCTTGAAGATCCGGCAGCGGCGAGCATAGCGGCGGCGGCCGTTGACGCCCAGGACCCGCTCCTCGATCGTCTTGGCGCCGTGGTGGCTGGACGCAGCGGCATGCAGCGCCTCGCTCGGAGCACCCTGGGGAGTCAGCGCATGGCCGTACAGCGAGAACCCGACCGGGTTGATCGTGTTGCCGCCCACCAGAGGAATGGCCGACCCGGCATTCTGCACCACCGAAGGAGTGCTAATCGACGACGACACCACCCGGTTGCCGACATCGGGGTTGTGGCAGTGGAACTTGTTGAGCTGCGTGGCAATCCACACCCACGAGGCCAGCCAAAGCCCCGTCAGGATCAGCTCCCACGTACGCGTGCAGCGAGCCCCGCCAATGCGCGACAGACCCAGCGCCTTGCCCAGCAGCAGCAGTGGAATAGTTAAAATCGTCAAGCACGACACAATTGCCGTCCAGATAGACGCTGCACGCGGCTTCCAGTGGCCATTGGCTGCCACCAGACAGCTAAGAATCAGCGAGATAATCGACAGGGGCCAGGCAAATGCCAGAGCTGCCGTGCGGAAAACCGACCCGCCAGCACTACCAATAACACCCATTCTCAAGTTCAAATGTAACTGTGGAGGAGTTACGGAAAGAAATGGAATAGGAGGAACACCGAAAGTAGGAAAAGAGCAGGCCGGACGGAAGGGGGGATAAGGCTCCTTTAATATATCCAGCACTGGCTACACTTCTCTGAGAAGGGGAACGCAATAGATGGTGCCTGTTCCAGGCAGCCAAGGTCGCCCGTACAATTAATGCCTGCCTAGCGGAAACTCCCCCAGCTATTGGCGATCAGCCCAAAGTGATGTACAAGACTGGCTGTAAAATGAATCAAACACTAGACTGTGCCTAGACTCCTGCCGTTTCAATACGACACGCTCCGCTGGCTAAAGCCCTCCCACACCCAAGACTGCTGCTTCCAGCCCCCCCACTCGGCATCCAGATTTGTCCGAGGTTTGATATGCACTCGCCAGGAGGCGCTTGAATCGACGGGAATCTGATCCGAGTCACCATTGACTAGAAGATAGGCACGTTTCGAATATTAAAGTAGGCATTTGGGACCGAGGATCTAGAATCTATTTCATCTTTGGACATGCAGCGGCTCGGTGATCAGCGTCGCTGTCCCAACCGTAGGCGGACAGCATGTGTCAGAATGCGGGGCAGGTTTGCCCTGGGGCGGGCGGGCATGTACGCGTCTGCTTTGCGGGGCTCCAGGCCGAGGAGCAGAGACCGGGGGATCGGCCATTGGGCGCACAATGTACTTTGGGGCCAGCTCTGGCTTTGCCATCGGACACCCGGCACAGCGGCAGGCGTTAGTAGCGGGCTGTCGGTAAGGAATTCTGGGGGCGGCCTGCGACTCACAGTCAGAGTCCAGGTCAGATTCTGGCTTGGCAGTGTGTGCTGTGGGGTCCCGAGGACTGAACGTGTCCGGGTTGACCAGATGTGTGCCCATGGGCTTGACAGCACCCAGATCGATGGCAGATGCCGAGTGTTCTTTGAATATGCTCGAGTCAAAGTGCATATCGGACCGTGTAAACGCCCGCCATGTGCGGCCAATCCACATGGCCCAGATAAGCCAACTC